AGAAGCAAGGAATGATACGTAAATTTATGCTGCAAACCTTGTTTGCTTGTAAACAAAGACAGATAAACAAAGACAAATTTAGATAAATCTAAATGACGAGATTGCTTTAAAATACCTGTAAAAATGGGCAGAAACTGTCCTTTTCTTGCTTAATAGTCAGTAAATGATCATAAAAGACAGGTAAAGTGAGCCTAATTTTGGGCAAAAACACACGGTTTGAAAACTATTGAAATGAATTGAAATATACGCTTTAACGTATTAAATTCCAGGATAACTACAGTTTCTACCCATTTTTAGGACTTTCATAAGTATGAGACACGTTACATTTTCACAATTAAGCAAATAATAACGAAATGGCATGCAGCACAAATTTTTGTCATCAAAACGTCACGCTTATTAATTGGCTGAACTTATAGGCGTTTTCCATGTCTATAAGTTCAGCCATTTATCGTGGCAAAGCGCTATAACACATACAAGCACGAGTCCATGTACATGTGCTCGCTTTCGGCGCGCCTGCTTGGTGTGTGACTACTATTTCGATACATTTCGTCAGCCGACTGATTTTGAATCGCATGCTAACTATTCAGGAGCCTTAATATTTTAGAAACTGTTAAAATAATAATCTACTATAACTATTAAAATAATATAATGCTTACGATAAATTTTGGTACAAATATGATGCCAGCCTCGTAGTTTTCTATACTATAACCATGTCGTTTGATTGATCCCCATGCGGCTTTGCTTAGATTTGCGCTGGTAAGCACAAACCAGGGTATGCTTTTTAAATCAGGCGAAATTCTCGTATATGATTTAATATGAGGCATTGCACGATCTCGTTCTGTTCGCTTTGCTTTCCATTGGCTACCGAAATAAATATCAAATTCTGTAGAAAAAAACAGATCACGTCTAGACAAAATATAAACATAAAGATTTGAACAAAATAAAAGTAAACACAGTTATAGCTTACTGCAAGTATAAATCTAACCACTGCTGTTTAGAATGCGCTTCTGCACTATAGGGCGAGCACCAAGATAAATTTCTATAATGAAAGCTCTGCTTGTAATTCTGAATTGATGGGTAAATAAACTTAAATTCCGGTTGACCTTTTGTATCCTTAGTATTTTCTCTTGACATACACGGAATTATATCTTTCAACAACCAACTTTCAAAAGATGAACCAAGTTTACCTATGGAAGAACTTTGTGCAACTATAGGCCACGGAAAAACATCTGACGGCAATATCACGTGACGCGATAGAACGTGCGCCAATTTCTTGTATCCCCAAAAATTGGTTTCATTATTTTTATAAATCCCAGGAACCGAAGCAATGAGGAACACGTTTACTTTAGAAAAATCCGCCTTTTGCACTTTCCATATCCATTGCGTCAACGCTGGCTGCTCATATCTACTCAGATATCGCACGAGATCCTTTTTAAAATCTGTTGGAGATTCTCCGTCACTCGGATTCGCGGAATCTGGTAGTCGAGGCAGATGAGGTGAAATCCACAATCTGATAAAAACACAATAAAAAGATATTCATAAGCAAACATCACTAACAACAGAGAATGTTTACGAATATTTAGCAGACCCTTGTGTCACATTTTCCCAGTCAGTAGAACGCAAGTTGGCAGTGGAGACAATCACTCTAATTCCATCATCTTTATATTGCAGAATCATGATCTTTGTATGATGACAAGCAAACTTAGTTTCTATGTTTACTTTTATTATAGTAATATTATTAAATAATGACTGATAATATGCTTTGTCGCCGTACAGAATCGTCATATCAGTACATTGGCCAGCTAATAAATATTGCCAACATAGCCATTCGACATCTACGATAAAATTTAAATGAAGACTGTAAACAATTTCTCCAAGACTGCAATCGAGAATTTCGGGGAAAGTTATAGAGAATTCTTGCTTATAAGTCTCCTTGGAATTTTCAATTCTTGTCAGGAATAAATGATAAGGTGCTGAATAATCATATTTTATCGCAAACTCCCCTGGTTGCACGATTGTGTGGCCCAATTTTCTCATCATCTTAATGGCTTTCTCGCTAACTTTCTTTCTTGACTTTTGGGAATTACAAGCTTGGAATATATTCATGATGGAATTCATATTTATAGATGTTCCTAAACTTTTGTTTCTAGAATTGTTTTGATGATTACTGATATTCTGCTGATTATTTTTACTGCGATTATTGTTTTGTATGTTTATTTGTTTCATCTTTTTCGTAACAGAAGAGCTAGATTTTGATATCTTCTGACTGTTCTCTTTTGCCTATTAAAGAAATTTAAATTTATTGTTCTTATTTTCCATCATTTAAAGTTCACAAACTTATAATTTTTAATTTCACCAACTTCTTCGCTTGCAACTTCGATGCTTTGCGAATTCTCACGTTCTTTGCCGGACAAAGCTGTAGAAAGTGCCTGAGCTTCTGTTTGAGTTTATCTTATCTCCTTTGTGTTCTTGTTTTTTTATATCCCTTTACTTTTTCAATCAAATCTTCGTACTTTTAGTACTTCCAACATTTGATGTAGTAGTATACAAAGATACATTTAAAAAATGAACCACCAATTGTAGATAATTACACATATAGCACAATATATTTTAAATTATCCTAGACAATGTTTCCAAATGCAATCTTAAAGACTCAATAAGTAATGCTTAAGATTCCAGTAAAATATTGTGAGATATCTTGAAGATAGGATATCTTTATGATATCAAGTATTATATAATAATCTTATTAAAAAATTGAAACAATATAATAGAAATCAATACAATTTACAAAAAATCTTATTATCTTCTATCGTAATCTATTTTTCACTTTTTATATATTAAATGAAATGTTATTGTTTCTTATTGTTTTGTGCTTTGAAAATGGATTTAATAATTGAAATACAATAAAATCTTTACAATAATTTATAGTTTTCTATGGTTTTGTTTGTTTTATTAAAAGAAGTGATTGAATCCAGAGTTAAATAAATTAATGTTTTTTTAACTAAATTAACTTAAAGTTAATGTTAAAATATATATTACAAACAATTCTTTAACGGTTGTATAAATTTCAAACAAATTAATATATAGTCAACAATAAAAGAGCTATAATTAGATGTGTGTGACAATGCAAAATTATTGATTTCAAATTTTGAAAAAAAAAATTTTGTTTTGGTCTTTAAATGGATTAAGACAGTGTCTTATTATTTAAGTATTATCCCGAATAGCATGGAAAGTTTTAGTTGTGTTGCAGGGACTTTCCAATGTCTCAATTGATATCATCACATTTATAATATTTCTGAGATTACCTTCTTTGAAATATTACAATCGCAATATTTCTGCAATTACATTAATTAAAACCTGAAATGTTCCTGTAATGTATAGGTCTTTCAACGTTGTAAATGCAAACTTTCTGAGAAATTTCTGAAACTCTTAATTAATAAATGCAGATACAGCTTTATCCAATCGATCATACTCACACACACGCATGAACGCACATACGTGTGCAATATAGATAAGAATATTAATCTTTTAGTAAATAAGATGCTTAGTGAGAGGAAGGAAAAAGAGAAAAAGAACACCCCAAAAATTTTATTTTTATGGTTACATTTTTAAATATATTTTATTAATTTAATATATTATGTAGAGCTTTAATGTATATACACTGCCAAAAGTAAAGCGGATGTAATAAGCTTCAAAGATTTCTCCTCATTTTTATTTTTTGTTTTAAAACAAGGTCTTGTTCAAAGAAATGGAGTACTGTGATTTAATAATATATTATTTAAATAAATCTATTATGACATTCTTAATAACATAAGAATAAGAGTTGCGATTTAATAAAGCATTTGCTTTTTTTATCAACAATATTTATTCCCGCGCGCACTGGGCAAAATATATCATTATAATATTTAAAGTACGACATGCTAAATATAATAGTCAATTATATTAATTAATATTTGAATTATAAAGTACAAATTACTTTCAGTCATTTTATTCAAAATAATTTATATTTCAAATCAAAAGGTTAAAAATATTTTGTACTTTGTAATTCAAATACTGATTAAGATTGACAGTATTTTGTATTTTAAATACTTAAATGATATTTTGCCTAACTCTGCTCGCATATTTACATTTTTTTTACATTTCTGCAATATTGCAAATAAAACTAAAGAGATCGCACCAACATCACCGAAAGATTTTACAAACGTTTCCGTAATATTTCAGAAACGTTTCTTACAGTTAGAAACGGACATTTTGACGTTGCCGCAATCTGGTAGATTCTCAGAAACATTGCGCAACGTAACTGTGATAATTTCAATGTTTCAATATTATATTCGTGCAACATTACAGAAATCCTTCTGTGTTATGGATGTCTCTTTAGTAATGCACAAAAACTGTCTTATGATTTTAAAAGCACTTGGTATTTATACTTCTTTAAGACATAAATTATAAGATAGTTCTTGTACATTACTAAAGACATAAAACTTAAGTCATAAAACACTATCTTAAGATTATAAGTCAGCTTTTTGCTACGGCCCTATCAAATATCAATAAGTTCTCAACATTTTGACATCGTTTCATTGTCGAATCGATCTTACTTTCATATATGAATCTAAACTTTAATAAAGAAACTTTGATTGGTTCATTCTCTTATGTTCTTGCGTTGTGTTATGGATATGCAAAAGTATCTATTCTATGGTCTTAACTCAACAATCTCAACGGTGCACAAATACTTCATGAAAAAGTTTGATTAATCAATTAGGTCAACCGTTAGGACCGCACAAACATTGTCGTATACATCCTGTCTGTGAGTATGGCGTAGATTTATATAAAAACACTAACGTTACACTCCGTGTGATTTATACATGAAAGAGTGAGTGAACATAAAAATGCGCTGCCCAGCGCTGTCTTCAAACATGGAAGAAAAGTCGGTAGTACATTTATCTGTGATTTCCAACTCTAATTTAAATATGAAATATAAGAATAAACTAATTTACTGGCGCCCCGTCTCCTCAACTAATAAATGTACAATACAATTACGGATGCAAAAATATTTCATTAAAGCAGATAAAAAATTAGTATTATCAATTAAAACGTTCAGTTTAGAGAGTTGACAAATTCGTTGACAAAAGGACTATCGTCTGATTCATATCGACTTAATGGAAGATCGTATGGGATCGGAAACACTGGAACAGCTGCATTTTGTTCTTCACCAACAGGAAATGTTATTGTTCCAGTCTAAATACAAACAAGTTTGAGATGTAACAATTAATATTAATCGACTAAAACATATACTTTAAACATATTTCCATAAATAATATCCATTAATAGCATTAATATGTCAAAAATTATTGAAATAATAATATGGTGCCTACGATAAATTTTGGTATGAATATGACGCCGGCCTCGTAGTTTCCTATACTATAACCTTCGTATTGTTTGGTTAATCCCCATGAGGCTTTGCTCAGATTTGCACTGGTGAGCAAAAACCAGGAAATTCTTTTCGAATCGGGAGAAATCCTTGTGTAGGATTTAATATTAGGCATCGCACGATCTCGTTCTGTTCGCTTAGCTTTCCATTGACTACAGAAATGAAAAATAAATGTAAAATTCTAGCTATAGAAAAAACGGATTGTTTATAAGATGTAAAAACATGACCAAAAAAAAAAAAATATTTGAATACAATAAAAATAAATCATTGTAACACTTACTATAAATATTGTTCTAGCCACTGCTGCTTAGAATGTATTTCTGTACTATACCGCAAAGGAGTAATTAAGTCTTGATAATCAAATCTTTGTTTATGATTCTCTATTGATGGATAAATAAACTGAAATTGTGGATGATTCTTTGGACCTTTAAAAGTCTCCTCCGACATACACCAAGTTATGTCTTTTAACCAACTTTCGAACTTTGAACCAAAGCGGCCTACAACAGAACTCTGTGCGACTATAGGCCACTGTGCATCTGGCGGCAGTGTGACATAGCGTGATAGGATGTACGCCAATTTCTTGTATCCCCAAAAATTGGCTTCGTCAGCTATGTGAATTCCGGGAACAGAAGCGACGAGAAACACATTTACATCAGAAAAATCCGCCATCTGCACTGCACGTATCCACTGCGTCAAAGCCGGTTGTTCATATTTACTCAGATATCGCTCAAGATCCTTTTTAAAACCCGTTGGCGATTCCCCATCATCAGGATTTGCGGATTCTGGCAGGCTGGGCAGATGAGGCGAGATCCATAATCTAATCAGGATAAAATAAAATAACATAATAAAAAGATGTTTATAGACAAAGATTATATGGCTAACAATAAGAAATATCTATGCATATTTAACGGACCCTTGTGTCCTGTTTTTCCAATCGTCAGAATATAAGGCAGCGGTAGAGACAATCACCCTAATCCCATTTCTATATTGCAGGATCATGATGTTCGTATGATGACTTGAGAACTCGTGTTGCCCATCTACCTTTATTATAGTAATGTTTTTACTTAATTCCTCTTGACACAGACATATTCTATGTTTGTACAGAATTGTCATGTCGGTACGTTGACCAGCCAACAGATACTGCAAAGATAACCATCCGACGTTTACGGCAAAAGTTAAATGAAGACTGTTAACAATTTTTCCAAGACTACGATCAAGAATCTCAGAGAAAGTTATGGAGAACCGTTGATTATGAGTCTTTTTGGAATTTTCGACTCTCGTGAAAAATAAATGGTAAGGCGCTGAAGAAGCATATTTCTTCGCAAACTTTCCTGGTGTCACAACCATTACTGTGTACCCAATTCGTTTCATCTCCTGAATAGCCATTTTTCTAGCTTCCTTTCTTAACTTCTTGGAATCAAAATTTGGATACTTATGCATGAGATATTCCAACCTTGAGGTTGTTGAAGTCTGAGTTCTTGCGTCCATTTGCTTGGATTTTTCTTGCTAATAATTTTTTGTTTATTTTTTCTTTTTTTTTTCAAATCTTTTTTAGTACTTCACGTTACAACTGTCAAAAATTGTGTTTTAGTAAATTAACTACTAATTATTATAACTACCACAGCACACTTTATCTCGAAAGAATCCTATGTTGTTTCAGATTTCTAAATGCAATCCAAAAGATGACTGAGTACATAATATCTAGGATATTCCAATAAAATACCGTGAGATAACTGTGTGTGTATATAATATATATATATATATATAGAATTACTATGATATCGCTTGCTACGTAGTAATAACAGCAATAAAGGAAAGATATAAAAATCGATAAGATTTGCACAAAGCGCATTTTCTATCATAGTTGTCTTACTTTTTATGTTTAGATAAAGATATTATCGTTTTCTACTGTTCTTTATTTATTTTTTGGTAAAAATAAATTTATAATTATTGATATATGTATATAATAAAATATTCTTGTAGTAATTTATTATTCTCTATCTTCTTGTTGGAATTTCTCGAGAATAAATAATTGAATTTATTATAAAAATTTGAAAAAATGTTACGATTTCTTAAAAGTAATTACAGAGATAAAAGGGCTCGAGGGAATAATTTTCTGTCCTCCGAGCTCTTCATGCAGATGACATAATTCTTCTCAAATTTTTTCACCCATTTGATGTTTTAGCAACCTGTTCTGCTTTGAATACAGACTTAAAATCTATCGCCGAATGGTCTACTAATAATGCCCTACGTCTAAATTCTTCTAAATCATCCTAGCTAATTGTCGGTTCCTCAACATTGTTATCCCGTATTCAATCTTTCAACTTTCTCTTAATTCTATTCCAATTTTTCTTATCATTCCAATATCTATTGTATTTATGTTTATGTTAACTATAGTCTATAGTATCATACTCTGTTAGCATGTAGTCTTTTTCATATAGCTTTGCAATAAACTAAATCAAATTAAATTAAATTAAATTAAATAAGCGCTATTCAAGGTGCGCAAATTGTTCAAGAATATCTCTCAATATTCAAATTAAATTTATTGAAGAGACCGTAAAACAAACATGAACATTAAAACGATAATAAATTCGTACGTTTAGGTTAATTTTCTAACCTTCTTCAGTGTAAAATATACACAAAAAAAGTTACATAATTAATATTTCTTGTTGTTTACATATACAAAATTGGAAAATGTAAATCTATTCTTTGCAGTCTCTAGGAAAGCAAAATAAGTTCTCTGTCGAGTATACATTTTCCCATGCCAGTTACAAGGCTGGGTGAAAATCAAAAAGTCGGTGTCCATAATGTAAGCACATAATGTAAACTGTTAATCTAAAGTCTTGATAGTAAACATGTCAAACAATTAAAGATTTTTTAGTCAAATTATAAAATAAATGAAATATACGGACGTGTCGACCATATATCATCAAGCAGTAAAAAAAATGAATCTATCATAATCTTATATTATCTATCGTAATCAATGATATGTTCACAAAGTACAACAGTATATTTACAATGAATACGTTTTGTTCTAATATAAACAAACGAGCTTTGCATGTATTCCTGATTTTAGAAGTTAAATTTCTCGTCCGTACAAATACTTTTTGAGCATTTAAACAATACAATTTTTAATTTTCGCTTATTTTTCAGATAATATATTTTGTATAATTAATATACATCATTTTGATACATATAATTTTAAGAAACATACAGTCTATTTTATTGTTTATGAATAAATTGTTAATTATCCAACAAGAAATGATCATTCATTAAATGTCAAATTGGTGTTGAAATCATCGAATTTATATCGATTCGACATCAATTCGATGATTCATTTCTTGCTAGATAATATTTACTTTTAAAGAATAAAGTTTTTTTTAAAAAATATTTTCTCTGTACGACATTTTTTGCACTGTATGTATAAAAGGAATTAGATCATTTCAAACACTTTTTAAAGAAAATATTTAGCGATCTATATTACAAAATTCTGACGATATGAGCAATGCTGCCCATCGTATATAATTATGAAAGACAGTCAAGTAGGATTTGCCGATTCTTATTGATATTGTTTTATGGCATTGTGTGTATAATACAAATTTTTCATTTTTTCCTATGTAGCATAGAAACCTTTCAGAAATATTTCAGAAATGTTTTACGTGTGAAATATCTCAAAAACATTGCAGTTTTTGCAATAACTTTGAGACAGCTCTGGGTAAAATGTCGGCAATTCTTGCACTTGAAGCTTTTCTGAAAATGCTCTAAAAAGTTATCGATATATTGTGAATGCTTGCTAATTAGTAACTGTAATAAATCTGACACCTTTTTAAAAAAGTATAAAATTCAAAATATTGCATGAAAGCTTTCAGAAACATTTTTGCATTTTTACAATGTTTCTGAGATATTTCAATTTTACACGTAAATTTCTGAAATTTTTCTGAAACGTTTCTGTGTTGTATATAAAATCAGACAGTAAATTGGCGACAGATATCAATCAAGCAACATATTCGCGCACAGAAAATCTGACAACAGACTGACAGCAGAAACCAAGTAGGAGTTGCAAATTCTCGATCTCTGTTACCAATCTGTTAACATAGCATGATAGCAGGCTTAATATTTCAGTTTATTAACATCGTTAGATATTATAGACTCTGTGTAAGATTTGTCATCTTTCTACAATTAGAAATTGATATAATATCTTCCGTTCAAAATCTGTCTCTGCAGATTTGACTATCTAAGTTGGTATACATATAGAAACTCGCTTAGAATCTTAGAATTTAAGTTTTTATATTAATAGTTATCATTAATATAGATTATTAAATAATATAATTATTAATATCTTACTATAATTATTATTGTCCAATATCTTACATTAACGTTGCAAACAAATAACAAATCGTTATCTTTTAAGTAACATATTACTTTTTAAAATTAGTAACAAGTAACGATAATGTTATTTTTTACAAACAGTAATGATAACAGTAACGCGTATTTTTTAAAAAGTAATTCGATTTTTTATAAAGTTACTGACTCCAATTTAAACATCAGAGTAAATTGATTTACCAGCACCTCGTTCCCTCAACCAATAAATGTACAATATAAACACAGATGCAAAAATATTTTATCATTTAAAACAGATAAAAAACACTGGTGCCATTAGTTGAGACATTACATGTCATTTAGAGAATCGACAAATTCGTTGACAAAAGGACTATCGTCCGAATCATATTGGCTTAATGGAAGATCGTATGGAATCGGAAATATTGGAACAGTTGCATCTTCTTCTTCCCCAATAGGAAATGTCTTTGTTCCAGTCTAAATACAAACAAGTTTGAGACGTAATAATTGATATTATCAACTAAAACATGTGCCTTAAACACATTTCCATAGAGGAGAAGATATTATTATGGCCAGTGTATATATTGTAGCCTCTCTCAATATCTCCGTTATTATATAGCGAATCCTAATGATTACTCATGGAATTATTTGTTCAGTAATTCGCCGTTACACACTAATATACCAATTGCCAGCACTTATTAT